TTGGGGCTCTGGACGCCCGAACTGTTCGGGGTAGCTCAGGCCCGGGGTAGCTCGGGTTCGGGTTCCCGAAAAACGAACCCGAGTCAGCCCTGATCCGAATTACCCCTGATGATTTGGAGCTCTGGACGCCCGAACTGTCCGGGGCAACTAACTCGGGCACGGGGTAGCTCGGGTTCGGGTTCCCGAAAAACGAACCCGAGTCAGCCCTGAACCGAGTTACCCCTGATGACTCGGGGCTCTGACAAACGCCTGGAGAAACTCCACGCGGGTTTTTCCAACCCAGACATCCGACGTCTCGATTTTTTCGAGGCGCGGGCCCCCGACCTCCAGACCACTTCCCTGGGACTGGCTTCTCATCCCGAGTCGTTTTTTGACGGCCCCGAGGCCCAGCGAGGGCCCCGAGAGGCCAACAACTATGCAAAACCTCTGCCTCGACTTCTTCGAGACGCCCGACGGGAAACTTTCGGCCTCTGGAGGCCCTCGCCGGGCACCGGGACCGTCCACAGAAAAGCTCAGGTCGGGGATGGACAGACCCCCCTTTAGTAAAACGTGGTTTAGTGAAAACGACATCGGGCCCAAACCTGGCGGGCGCAAGCCTGGAGAATAACGGCCACGGCGCCCTCACGAGAACCGAAAACGGACAATTCACTCATCGACGTGTCACTGTTGGGGGTTCTGTCCAGCCCCGGACGTCTCGGAAGAAGTCGAGGCGGAGGCTTTTGCACAGTTTTTGGCCTCTCGGGGCCCTCGCTGGGCCTCGGGGCCGTCCACAAAACGGCTCGGGACGAGAAGCCGGTCCCGGGGAAGCGGTCGGGAGGTCGGGGGCCCGCGCCTCGAAAAACTCGAGACGTCGGATGTCTGAGGGCCTCGCCCCCCATCCCCAGCTTGGGCGCCCGAGTCATCCAGGGTAGCTCGGGCCCGGGGGAAGCTCGGGCGTGGATTCCCGAGCAGCGAGCCCGAGCCAGCCCTGACCCGAAATGCCCCCGATGATTTGGGGCTCTGGACGCCCGAACTGTCCGGGGTAGCTCAGGCCCGGGGTAGCTCGGGTTCGGGTTCCCGAAAAACGAACCCGAGTCAGCCCTGATCCGAATTACCCCTGATGATTTGGAGCTCTGGACGCCCGAACTGTCCGGGGCAACTAACTCGGGCACGGGGTAGCTCGGGTTCGGGTTCCCGAAAAACGAACCCGAGTCAGCCCTGAACCGAGTTACCCCTGATGACTCGGGGCTCTGACAAACGCCTGGAGAAACTCCACGCGGGTTTTTCCAACCCAGACATCCGACGTCTCGATTTTTTCGAGGCGCGGGCCCCCGACCTCCTGACCACTTCCCTGGGACTGGCTTCTCATCCCGAGTCGTTTTTTGACGGCCCGGAGGCCCAGCGAGGGCCCCGAGAGGCCAAACACTATGAAAAACCTCCGCCTCGATTTTGTTCGAGACGCCCGACGTCCGGGAAATTTTCGGCCTCTGGAGGCCCTCGCCGGGCACCGGGACCGTCCACCAAAATTCGACTACACGCAAGAGTGACCCTGGGTAAGAGTGACCTTTGGTGCGCGGCTTCTTGGGGGCCGCGGGGGGACCAAACCTGGGCGCGCAAGCCGCTGCTCCTGCTTCGATGTCAGCCACCTGGGGACCCATCTGTGCCCGCACCAAAGGTCACTCCGGCGAAAGGTCACTCTTAAGTCTAGTCGAAGGAGGAGGAGCCGCCGGCCCCCCCGGAGGGGACGCCCGCAAACCCCACGCGCGGGAGGCCCTGCAGGCCACGGGGCATCGACTGCTCCGGGCGGGGCTCTGCTTCTCGCCTCCTCCTTCTCCTCCTCCTGCTCCTCCTCCTCCTCCTGTTGTTCCTCCTCCTCCTCCTCCTCCCTCCTTTTCCTCCTCCTCCTCCTCCTCCTCCTCCTCCTCCTCCTCTCCTCCCTCCTCCTCCTCCTCCTCCCTCCTCCTCCTCCCCTCCCTCCTCCTCCTCCTCCTCCTCCTCCTCCTCCTCCTCCACCTCCTCCATACTTATCCCTGTCGCACTCCGAGGCCGGTTCTCAGGGCGGGGCGGGCGTTTGGTCTGAGACCTTCTCCCCGTTTATGAACCTGAACCTTAAACATTGGCAAAGGTTTCACATATGGAGGGCGGGTGTTTTTCAAAATGTGGTTCCCGCCTAAGTGCCACGCACATTTGTCTTAATAAATTGCAAGAGTTTCACAGATTGAAAGCGAGTGTTTTCAAATTGAGGCTCTCGCCATAGCGCCGCGCACATTTGTTTTCAAACTTCGCAAGCATTCCGCGAATTGAGGGCGGCTGGTTTTCAAAATGTGGCTCTCGCCTTAGCGCCGCGCACATCCGTTTTTAACAACAAATTGTAACAGCTTCGCTGATTGAAGGCGGTTCCTTTTCAAAATGTGGCTCTCGCCCACCCCCCCCCTCACATTCCTTTCAACAAATTGCAGGAGCTTCACGGATTGAGGGTGGCTCATGTTCAAGATGTCGCTCTCGCCTTAGCGCCGCGCACGTTCGTTTTAAAACTTTGCAGGAACTCCACGGATTCCCATGATCAGCGTACCAGAAATGGTGTTTTGGAAAAACTCAGGATTACGCGGGCACAATAGTTACGATGGTTCGCGGTCTTGAAGTCCCAGGAATGGCGTTCTGGCACGATTCAGGATCGTCAAAACGCACCAGTCAAATTGATCCGTAGCGGTGCGTCCCGAGAATACTGTTTTAGCATGCTTCAGGGTCTTCAAACGGTTGCCTTCCAACAGGGCAGTCGCCTTTGAAAATGAACCCTTGTAGGGGCCTATGAAGGAGCTTGGAGGGAGGCTTTATTCCAACATCGTTGATGACTCTTTGGTTTACACTGGTCCTCCTCCTCCTCCTCCTTCTCCTCCTCCTGCTCCTCCCCAACCAGAAGGTCCAGACCTACAGCGGATGCCGTCTTGAGAAACTGCGGACATCGGATGTCTGGCAAAGTGGGCGCAGCAATGCGCCAGACCGGATCGGGGTGGGGCGCTTTCGGCCCTCTTCCATCCTCGCTGCCCTTGCCTTCAAGAGGAGGGGGAGGATGATTATGATGATGATGAGGATGATGATGATGATGATGAGGAGGAGGAGGAGCAGGAGGAGGACGAGGACCAGTGTAAACACAAGACGCATCAATGATGCTGCAATAAACAATCCATCCGAATTCATAAGCCCTCCCTCCAAATTTCCTCTTCATAGGTCCACACAAGCTGTTGCATCATTGCGGGGAATGCCCCACTGGAAGACAACCCCGTGAGAACCCTCTATCGTGCCAGAACGCTACCCCTGGGACTCGGACACCACGGAACGACGTGACCTTTCCGTTGCGTCCTGACGATGCCCATTCGTGCCAGATCACAGCTCCTGAAACTTCAGCCCGACGAACCATTGAAACTGCGGCAGGCGTTTCACGCGAACGGGTGCGGCGCTGAGGCGAGAACCACACTCTGAGAAGAATCCGCCCTCCACCCGTGAAGATGCTGAAATCTTTTGCCGCGAATGCGCGCGGCCCTACGGCGAAGACCACATGCTGAAATCCGTCCGCTCCCTGTTCGCACACCTGCCGCAGACCGTTGGGGCGAGTGTGCGCGGCCCGGTAGATCGAGAGCCGCATTCGCAGACCACCCGCCGTCCACCAGCGAATCTGCTGCAAACTTGTGGGACGAATGTGCGCGGCGCCAATGCGAGAACCTCAGTTCGAAAATCCACCAGCCCTCCATCCGTAACCTGTTGCAGACGTCTACGACGAAGATGTCCGCGGCGCCGGAGCGAGAGGCGCACGTCTAAGACGACCCGCCCTCGGTCCACGAAGCAGTTGCACGCCTCAAGCTTCGGATGCCTCAATGGTGAGGCCATCCCGAAGCGAAACCCCCAGCCCGCGCTACCGATACGCCTGAGGGGGCGCCAGGGAGGACCCACTCATGAGGAACAGGGACGGAGGGGGGGGAGAAGGAGGAGGAGGAGGAGAAGGAGGAGGAGGAGGAGGAGGAGGAAGAGGAGGAGGAGAGGTGCGGACGGAGGAGGAGGAGGCGGAGAAGAGTAGGAGGAGGAGAGGAGGGAGAGGAGAGGACTGGACGAGAGAAGAGGAGGAGGGCAGAGACGAGGAGGGAGAGGAGCAGGAGGACACAGGAGAAGCGGCGAGGCCACGGCAGGAGGCGAAGGAGGAGGCGGAGAGGAGGAAGCTGGGGTACGAGGGAGAGCAGAAGGAGGAAAGAAGGAGAGGAGGAGGAGGAAGGAGGAGGGAGGAGGGAGAGAGGAGGAGGAGGAGGAGGATAAGATGCAAGTAAGAGCCAGGAGGAAGGAGGACGAGGCAGAGGAGGTAGGCGGAGGAGGAGGAGGAGGAGAGGAGAGTGCGGAGCCTGGACGGAGGGGGACGGGAGGGGAAGACGCCAGGAGGAGGCGGAGGCGAAAGGCGGAGGCGGCGGCGGAGGCGGAGGGTGGCCGCGGAGGGCGGCGAGACGCGGAGCACACACGCGAAGCGAGCGGCGGAGGGCGGAACCGCAGGCGCGGCGGCGGAGAGGCTGCGGCGGCGCCGAGGCGGCGGCGGCCGCGGCGCGGCGGAGCGGCGGCGGCAGGACGGCTAGGCGGCGCGCTGGCGGGCGGCGTCCGGGCGGCCCCGGCGCGGCTGGGCTGCGCGCAGCCCGCGGCGCGGCGCGCGGGCCGCTGCGGCGGCGGCGCGGCGGCGGAGGCGGCTGCGCGCGGCGCGCGGGCGCGGGGCGTGGGGCGGGGATGAGGGGGGCGGGGGGCGTGGGGCGGGGGGCCGGTGCGGTCGGTAGGCGGGGCGGGCGGCGCGTCGGCTGCGGCGCGGCTGCGGCGGACTCGGCGGTCCGGACGCTGGCGGCGGCGGCTTCTGCGCGGACGGCGAGCTTGCGTCGCGGCTGCTGGCGGGGGCGGCGGGAGTGACGGAGAGTGCCGCGGCGGCTGCCGAGCGGGGCACGCGTCCCGCGGGAGGGCCACGTGGGTGTGGCGGGGGGGCGGGCGCGCTGGCGATCCTGCTTCCAGCCGCCGCCGCCGGCCGCCCCGTCCTGCTTCCAGGCCCCCGCGTCGTCCCACGCCTTGCGGGTGGTGCGCAATGCGACCAGGCCGCCAAGAATATACACCACCACCACCACGACCTCCACTCCCCCTCTCTCCTCCACGCTCCTCTTCCTCTCCCCTTTCCTGGGAGGAGGAGGAGGGGATGAGGGAGGAGGTGGTGGTGGTGGTGGTGGTGGTGGTGGTGGTGGTGGTGGTGGTGGTGGTGGTGGTGGTGGTGGTGGTGGTAGTGGTAGTGGTAGTGGTAGTGGTAGTGGTGGTGGTGGTGGTGGTGGTGGTGGTGGTGGTGGTGGTGGTGGTGGTGGTGGTGGTGGTGGTGGTGGTGGTGGTGGTGTATATTTCTGGGCCCCGTAAATGCGGCCAGGTCGTGAGAACGCGCGGTGAGGGTGAGGCGGGGGTGGGAGCGGACAGCGGTGATTCACACCACTAGCCTCGCCACTCGCCGTCGACAAAGCAAGCCCCCCGCAGAGTTGTCCTGCGAGCGTGGCCGAAATTCGGGCTACGGAAAACAGACTAGCAAAACAAGCAAGAGCAAGCTTCGCTGAGGACGGGCCTCAAATCGAGAATAGGCCGGCGAAGCGGGGATATGTTCATATCCGCCACCGGGGGAAGCGACGTCCTGGGACCCAATCGGGCGGCGGATGTGGACACGTGTTGGCACCTGGTAGGGGGGAGTCATCAATACCCGCCGCAAGCCGAGGGCTGTGGATATCGATTCCCCAGGCGGTGGTTATGGACAAATCCCCGCCTCGCAGGGAGGACGCGAAGCCCTTGAACGCCCAAGCTGAAACCGAGGTCAGCAGCCCATAGTCCATGGCGCAGGGCCAGGACGAGCCGACGGGCAATGATGCATGCAAGAGCGCCCTTGGACGATGACCCGTCCTCGCGATCCTGTCTGATTGTAGTGCCCCGCGTGCCAGTTTCCCCTTATTTACTGGCGCGAGCGGGTGCCCAGCAAAGCGTGTCAACCCGGTCCCGGCCCAAAGGCTTCCCCGAGGGGGTCCGAGCAGGCGGGGTCGGAAGACCGCGCCGCGTCGCCGATGCGTCACCGACGCGTCGGCGATGCATCGGCAACGTCGGCGATGCAAAGGCGACGTCGGCGTAGAGAAAATCGGTCTGCACAATCGGCGACGCGGAGCCGTCATCCGCTCCCAGGCCCCAGGAGGAGGAGGAGGAGGAGGAGGAGGAGGAGGAGGAGGAGGAGGGAGGAGGAGGAGGAGGAGGATGGAGAGAGATAAGGATAGGAGGCGGATAGGAGGCGGATAGGATGAGGAGGAGGAGGAGGAGGATAGGAGGAGGAGGAGGAGGAGGAGGAGGAGGAGGAGTCGGAGAAGGAGGAAGGAGGAGGAGGCGGAGGAGGAGAGGAGGATAGGAGGAGGAGGAGGAGGAGGAGGAGGAGGAGGAGGAGGAGGAGGAGCGAGGAGGAGGAGGAGGAGGGGGGGAGGAGGAGGAGGAGGAGGGGAGTGAGGATTGGAGGAGGAGGAGGAGGAGGAGGAGGAGGAGGAGGCAGGAGGAGGAGGAGGAGGAGGAGGACGAGGAGAGGAGGAGGAGGACGAGGAGGAGGAGGAAGGACGAGGAGGAGAAGGAGGGCCCCTGTCGGGAGGCGTTGGGAGCGGCGCTGCCACTCGCAGGCTCGCCCTTTCAGCGAGGCGCGCGCGCGGGGCTGCTCTGCAGCAGCCCCTCCTCCTCCTCCTTTCATCTCTTCTCCTCCGCACTCCTCCTCTCCTCCTCCTCCTACTCCTCCGCCTCCTCCTCCTCCCCTCTCTCCTCCTCCTCCTCCGCCTCCTCCTCCTCCTCCTCCTCCTCCTCCTCCTGCTCCTCCTGCTCCTCCCCCTCCACGATCCACACGAACCCAGCGCCCGGGGGCCGAAAGCAGCCCGCCGAGCCAGCCAGCGGGCACCCTGACCAGCGCTGCCCCGAGGGAGAGAAAGAGAGAGACAGTACGCACATATGTTTTCAAGAGTGCCGAAGTTGGGCTCCCCTGGACTCCTCTACCCAGGGCGTAGCCTCGCTGAGAACGCGCCTTGAGCCCTTGAGCCAAAATGGCTACGGACTTCTGGCTGGTTGGACCGTAGCCAAAATGGCTACGGTCCAACAAGCCAAAAACCCGTCCATACGTCCAACATACCAGGTCCAGGCAGCACCGCTCAACCCGCACCGCAGGCCAGCACCTCCTCCGGCAGCCACCAACCGACCAGAGATCCGCCAACACGTCCAGCAGGTGTGATCTAGGCAGCGCCGCCCACCGTGCCACAGAGCGGTGGGCTTGCTCTCCACCGCCACCACCATCAGTAGGAGGGAAGGGGGTCCTCCTCCTCCTCCTCCTCCTCCTCCTCCTCCTCCTCCTCCTCCTCCTACTCCTACTCGTCCTCCTCCTCCTCCTCCTCCTCCTCCTCCTTCCGCCCTCCAACTGATGGCGGTGGTGGTGGAGAACAGGCCCACCACAGAGGACCCTCTGCGCGGCGCTGCGCGGCTCCCGAACCCTGCCCGCCGCGCGAGCGCGCCGGCGCCGGACCGCCCCGCGTCGCCCCGCGGCCATCGCGCGCGGAGGAGGGCGGCCCCCGGCGGGGGGGGGCCAAAAGCACCGCTGCCGCCTGCATTTCACGGGCGAAGAATGGTGTGACATAAACTTGTTCCCATCCTTGAATTGCAAATGTTTACAACATGCGCGTGGCGCTTGCGCGAGGGCCACATGTTGAAAATGGCCCGCCCTCCATCCATCCGTGAAGCTGTTGAGGACTTTCATGTCGCAGGATCACAAGTGGTGAGGACGTCTTGGCAAAACTGCTGGCCCGTCCCACCGACATGTCTGGGGGTGCGGCGGGGAGAAACTGATTTTTTACGGAAAAGGGATGTGCCGAAATGTGTAGTCATCCGCCCATGTGGGCACAACTCTGAAAAAGTTTCGCGGTCCCATCGGGGGCTCTGTCGAAGGCACCAGTAGCACGGCCCACATGCGGTTCCCCCCCATTTGGGAGGAGGAGGAGGAGGAGGGAGGGGGACCAGGAGGAGGAGGGGAAGTAGGAGGAGGAGGAGGAGGAGGAGGGAGGGGGAGGCGGAGAAAGAGAGAGAAAAGGATTACCTGGAAGGATTACCTGAGACGTACACACTCTGCTACTGGCCTCAGCAATAGAGCGCTGCGCATCCCTCTGACGCAGCGCCTCACGTATCTTTACGGGCATCCAGTTGGGGTGCGGCCACAAACCCTTGTCACTTCTGGCAAGATTATGCTTGTCTTTCGCCGTGCGGGGCCGTCCTAGCTGGAGGCATTCATGGACCAAGTTGTCAGCGTATATACTGGCATAGCCCCGCAGCGACTACGAAACGTGAGGTTCATACAATCAACATACAGGAGAATGTGCGTGCCATGCTGAGCCTTCTCCACCACACTCCGCGGCGCGGAGGAGGAGGAGGAGGAGGAGGAGGAGGAGGAGGAGGAGGAGGAGGAGGAGGAGGAGGAGGAAGGGGAAGGAGGAGGGAGGAGGCGGACGGAGGAGAAGGAGGAGCAGGCACGTCCCTGCCCCGCCCCCCGACGAAAGACGCCCGGCACCCAGGCGCGCGCAGAAGAGCGCGCCTCCGCCGCCGCCGCGGCGGGCGGGTTGGCCAGGTGGTGCCGCACCCGCCGGAGCGCCTCGGCACGCCCCGAGAGGCCGCTGGGGCCTGGCGGGGCCGCGGCGGCGAGGGCAGCGGCGACGCTTCGGCGAGCGAGGGCGAAGGAGACGAAGGGCGAAGGCCGCGGGACGGAGGAGGAGCGAGGCACCGAGGAGCGCGGAACGAGGCACGAGGAGCGAGGAAGACGACGACGACGGCGACGACGACGACGACGACGACGACGACGACGACGGCGGAGGCGGCGGCGGCGGCGAACGGCGACGGCGACAGCGTCGACGACGAGGCGAACGAGGAACGAGGAACGACAATGGGCGAAGAACCCGGGATCCGAGCGCTGCAATTTTTGTCACGCAGGGCGCTGTCGCCCCTTGTCGAGCCGCAAGACCACCACAGACCGGTCCGGCTCGCAGAAGGCATGAGGAAGATACCGTCGGGCTTCTGAAAGAAGGAACGGTCAACAAGGAACGAAGCCCCTTTTTGGCCCCACAAGCGCCTGCGTGCACGAAGAAGGCTAGAGGAGAAGCCACAGAAGGACCTAAGGAATATCGAGCCTCTTTCTTGTCCAAACTGTTCCTAATTTGAGCGACTTGGCTGTAGGGTGCAGGGCTCTGGTCGCGTTTTTTACGATGCTTCATCTTTTGCTCGAAGAGTCGGGTCTCAGGGAACCAGGAGCGATGACGGCGGCCGCGGTTGAAGGGGCCCTGGGACACACAAAGAAATACATACAAATAACAGGATCCCCCATATTTTCCAATATTTCCTGGGTTTCTGTCTTCCCCCCCCCACTGCCCATATTTTCCCATCCTTCCTGGGGGAGTCGACGATTAACTTTGTCTGTGTGTTTCTTTCCCTCCCGAGCGGTGTCGACGAAGATGAGGACGGCGGCGACGCGAGGGGAGGGTGGGGGGAGCCTGCTGGGACGACGACGACGACGCGGGCGCCGCCGGGCCCTGGCAAGACGACGACGACGACGACGACGAGGACGGACACGGGGAACGAGGAACGACTCACAAGAACTGCCAGCAGAGAAACGAGAGACGACGACGAAACGGCGACGGCGACGGCGGCGGCGGACGACGACGACGACAACGACGACGATGCCGACGGCGACGCCGACGTCGACGACGACGGCGTCGAACACGACGCCGAGAACGACGCCGACGACGCCGACGCTGGCGACGACGACGATGCCGAACACGGCGCCGAACACGGCGCCGAGCACGGCGCCGAGCACGACGCCGAGCACGGCGCCGACGCGGATGACGAAGACGACGACGACGACGAAGAGCACGACGCCGAGCACGACGCCGAGCGCGACGCCCGACGCCGACATCGACACCGACGCCGACACCGATGCCGACAACGACGCCGAGCACGACGGCGACGCCGACGACGGCGACGACGACGACGACGACCACGACGACGACGGCGACGCCGACCACGACGCCGAGCACGACGCCGACGACGCCGAGCACGACGCCGACGCCAGTGCCGACGCCGACGACGACGAAAAGTATGACTTCGAGCACGACGCCGACGCCGACGCCAACACTGGCGGCGACGACGACGACGCCGACGCCGACGTCGCCGACGACGACGACGCCAACGCCGACAACGACGCCGAGCACGATGCCAAGCACGACGCCGAGCACGACGCCGACGACGCCGACAATGATGCCGACGCCATCGCCGACGCCGACGCCGACGAAGACGCCGGCATTGTCGACGACGGCGAGCACGACGGCGAGCACGACGGCGAGCACGACGCCGACGCCGACGCCGACAACGACGCCGAGCACGACGCCGAACAGGACGCCAGACACGACACCGACAACAACGCCGACGCCGACGCAGATGCCGACGACGACGACGCCCGTCGCCGTCACCGACACCGACTCCGATGCTGACGTCGGCGCCGACGCCGACGCCGATGCAGGCGACGACGTCGACACCGAGTACGACGCCGACGCCGACAGCGATGCCGACGCCAGCGCCGATGCCGACGCCGACGAAGACCCCGACAATGTCGACGACGGCGAGCACGACGCCGACGACGCCAACACCGACGCCGACAACGACGCCGAGCACGACGCCGAACAAGACGCCGGACACGAGATCGACAACGACGCCGACGCCAACGCAGATGCCGACGACGGCGACGAAGACGCCCATCGCCGTCACCGACACCGACTCATATGCTGACGTCGGCGCCGACGCCGACACCGACGCCGACGATGACGACGATGACGACGACGACGGCGCCGACGCCGACGCCGCTGACGACGACGACAACGACGCCGACAACGACGCCGAGCACGACGCCGATGCCGACGTCGACGACACCGACAAAGACGCCGACGCCGACGCAGATGCAGACGCCGTCGTCGTCGCTCCCACCCCGAATCATAACCTAACCTGGGGAGGTCCTACAAGCGACCAAAGAAAGCGATCCATTTCGGCAAAGCATCTCAGACAAATTGACTGACCGCGTCATGCTGGTGTTTGTGGGAATGGTCAAACCGTCACGCCCGCCACTGGTAGTTCTGCTGACCGCGGCCAGACCGTCAAGTTCAACGTCGATAGACGTCGATCCCTTCACCTTACTCTGCACGTTTGCGAGCGACTCCGAAGACAGCCCGAGACTCCACCCGCCGCCTGCGAAATGCGCGCAGCCATGAAAAAATGAAGAAAGCAGTAATCCAGATTTCGTAATAAAGGGAGGGGGGTCTCATTTCGGGGGGGGTCTCTTCCAGGCTATCTTGGAGGGCCTGGGGGGTCTGGGGACGATGTTTTGGAGGGTTCTCCCACGGGGGAGGTCTGAAATGGCTTGTCTTGGAGGGTCCAGACCCCCTCCCTTTTATTACGAAATCTGGAGTAAACAATCAAGTGGCTTGGATTTCAGAAGGGGTGCAAGGGTTGGGGGGTCCGGGGTGGCCCTACGGTGGCTGGACAGCCCCGAGAACACCCCAGAAAAACATGTAAAAAAACACGAACCCGAGCAGGTTTGTGTTTCAATGCGTCTTCTCCCAAGGAGCGTGGGGTGGCTGTAGAGACCCCTCGAAAACCAGAGAAAACAACAGCAACAAACAACGCATGTCTTCTGGGGGTGTTGTCTTCTCTCCGCCAACCCTGGGGCGGCCGGAGGACCCTCCGAAGACTTCTTGGAGAAAACCATGAAGAATCAGAGTGGTTGCTTCCCCTAACCCTCCTGTGTTGGGTTGAGCACTTTGGTCGCGATTCCTCCCCAGACATGCGACGTCCTGATTTTTTCAGGACGGCGTCCCCGCAAGTCCCGACCCTTTCCCCGGGACCGGTTTTTCGTCCTGAGTCGTTTTTTGACGGTCCCGGGGCCCGGCGAGGACCTCTAGAGGGCGAAAATACCCAAAAACCGCCCGTCCTGATTCTTTTACGACGCCATCGTGTCTGGGTCCCCTCCTCTCCTCCTCTCTCCTGCCTCCTGCCTCCTCTCTCCGCACGCACAGCCAGGACCTCGCGGCTCCCCGTGGTCTGCATAGGTGTGAAGCTGTCGCCACCCTCGCGGCCCCGCCGGAGGTCGCGCAGAGTGGCATTGTGCGGGGTCCCAATGGAAACTTCGCAGTTCCGTGGCGCGCTGCGGAGTTCAAAACGTTGTCGCGTTCGCGGGCACCTGGGAGGTCGCGCGGGGAAGGAGCTGCACGGGGACCCAGTCGAGACCCCGCGGCCCCCGGGGGGGCTGCGAATTGTGAAACTGTTGCCACTTTCGTGGTCTCCTGGGAGGTCCAGCGGAATGGACTGGTATGGGATCCCGTCGAAACCTCGCGTTTCCCTGGGGGGCTGCCAAGTGCGCAACTGTCACCGCGTTCGTGATCTTCAGGGGAGTCCGGCGCAGTCCGCAGTCATGCAGATCCCGTCGAGACCTCGCGGCCCCCGGGGTGGGGGGCTGCGAAGTGCGTAGCTGTCGTCACGCTCGTGGGCTGCATGCGGTGTCGAGCGAGTTCGCGGCAGTTGTCGCCGGCGCCGCACTGGCGCAGGCGCCGAGAAGAGATGCAACTGGTAGCGACTACTCGCGTTCACAAGTGCAGGATCTCTCGAAACGCACGGCGCTGTCCCGTCACGTGGCGCTGTCTGTTGTCCGCGTGGCTTCCCATCCTCAGCTGCAGCTGGCCCGCCATGCCGCCCTGTGCGCTTGCCTCGCCCAGCGCGACGCGCTGTTCTTACCTGGAGCGCATGGCACGTTTCTGTCCCACGTATTCAACGCTCGGCGCTACTGCTGTCACTGAAAATGTGTCCCTCCTGCTTCTGTTTCCATCTGCTTATGTTTCTGTCCCTACCTTGCCATTCCTGCATGTATGGGCTTACTTCTGAAAGCGCATCCGCACTGCGGGTTCTTCAACACGTTTGTTCCTCGATTCTCCATTCTCAGGAGGAAGGGGGAGGAGGGAGGTGAGGGATGGGGGGGGACGCGGGGTGAGGAGGGGGAGCCAGGAGGCACACAGCCCCCGCAAGACTTCCCTGGCCTGCGTCGTGGCCGAAGATCAGCAGCTCTGGCACGATGGGGGCATCGTCCGCGGCCTCCTCGGAGCCTGCCCGCAGGCCCGACGCGATGATCCTCAGAAAGCGTACTAGCGCCAGCGTGTGCTTGTCTCGGCGGCGAGCGAGGGGGGGAAAATGAGAAGGAGAAGGCCTTCTCGGAAGGCGGCGGGACTCCTCGGGAGCCCTCGCGCCTTCTGAGAGGTTCTCGGCGTCTTCGGGGAACCGGGGGACGTCCGAGCCTTCTGAGAAGGCCCGCCCATTCTCATTTCCTAGGTGGCCACATGTGAACCCTACCCCCACCCCCAACTATTTCTGAGGGGAGATGGGGGTTCACCCCGCTCGGGAACTGCCGAACGAAATGAACCCCCACCCCCACTTCGAAACCGTGAGGGGTGGGGGCAAGGTTCACATGTGGCTACCGATTTCCCCTCCTCGCTCGCCGCTGATTTTCTACCGAAACCCCTTCAATATACGACGTATGCGTTGCAATGGGGGCCGGCACAGGCAGAATGCATGCTATCGGTGGAGCTCTGGGACAGCACACACAGATTGGGCGAACACACGTCCTGAGGAGAATCGACCGAGGGAGAGGAGGAGGAGGGTGGTGGTGGTGGTCACTGCATAAGGGAAACAGAATCCCGAGCAGAGCAACACGCACCACGACCACGACGACGCCGACGACGACGACGACGGAGACGAGGCGCGCTTACGATCCGCACCGAAGCACGGATTTGGGAAAGGGCCCACCCTGCAGGGTCGGTTAAACAGCACATCGTTGAGCGGTGCTGCAGCCTCCCCTGAGCACAGGCCCCCCCAGAGCATCAGCCAGACAAGTCGGGTTTGCACCCTCATGCCTTGCTGGACTCTGGGCGCGTTTCGGCACCCTCTCCCCCAACCTCGTCAGGGCCACCGACAAGGGAGAGGGCGGCGGTGGCCGACGCGTCCCCGAGCTAAGAAGCTCAAAGCGCCGCGGCTCAGAGAGCCGGGAAGACAGACAGACAGACGGACGGACGGACAGCCAGGCGGCGTGCAATGCCTGGCAAGCCAAGTGGGTGGTCACTGCATAAGGGAAACATAATCCCGAGCAGAGCAACACGCACCACGACCACGACGACGCCGACGACGACGACGACGGAGACGAGGCGCGCTTACGATCCGCACCGAAGCACGGATTTGGGAAGCACGTCCTGAGGAGAATCGACCGAGGGAGAGGAGGAGGCGGAGGGAGGAGGAGGAGGAGGAGGAGGAGGAGGAGGAAAAAGAAGGGAGGAGGAGGAGGAGGAGGAGGAGGAGGAGGAGGAGGAGGAGGAGGAGGAGGAGGAGAGGAGGAGGAGGCGGGAGGAGGAGGGAGGAGGAGGAGGAGGAGGAGGAGAGGAGGAGGAGGAGGAGGAGGGAGGAGGCGGAGAGGCGCGGGAGGAGGAGGAGGAGGAGGAGGAGGAGGAGGATGGGACGAGGAGCGGAGGAGGGGAGGAGGAGGAGGAGGAGGAGGAGGAGGAGGAGGAGGAGGAGGAGGGAGGAGGGAGGAGGGAGGAGGGAGGAGGGAGTGGGGTGAGGGAGGAGGGAGGAGGGAGGAGGGAGGAGGGAGGAGGGAGGAGGAGGAGGAGAGCGGAGGAGGAGGAGGAGGAGAGGAAGAGGAGGAGGAGGAGGGGAGGAGGAGGAGTCAGAGGAGGAGGAGGAGGAGGGAGGAGGAGAAGGGAGGAGGTAGGAGGAGGAGGAGGAGGAGAAGGGAGGAGGAGTAGGAGGAGGGAGGAGTAGGAGTAGGAGTAGGAGTAGGAGTCGGAGTAGTAGGAGTAGGAGGAGGAGGAGGAGGCAGAGGAGGAGGAGGAGGAGGGAGGAGGAGAGGAGGAGGAGGAGGAGGAGGAGAGGAGGAGGAGGAGGAGGGAGGAGGAGGAGGGTCGGAGGAGAGGAGGAGGAGGAGGAGGAGGAGGAGGGTGGAGGAGGGAGGAGGAGGAGGAGGAGGAGGGCCTCCCACTCCCAGCCCTCGCCACTGCAGAGAGATAGAGAGAGAGAGAGAGAGAGAAAGGGGGGCCCGGAGGCACGGGGCCCGAAGCCCCCTCCCGACGCCCCGACGCCTCGAGGAGCTCGCTCGATGTGGCACTTTGCGTCGCAACGTGCTCTGCCTCCTGGGGGCCCTCGCCTGGGCCGCGGGGCTCTGCAAGAGCGGCTCGGGACGGAGAGCTCGCCCCCGGGGAGGGGAGGAGGCCCCCAGACCTGACCACCTACCAGACCACCCCAGCCCAACCCGAAGACTTGAATTTTGGGTGGGGGGGGTGGTAAGGGCTCCATATGTGTTTTCTCAATGCTCCCCGATCCCCCCCCACCCCCACTAGAAACGGACGGCAAATCGGGGCCGTCGGGTTTTGTTTGGGTGGGCTGGTGGGTGGTGAAGACCTCTTGGGACACCCCGCGGGAGGAGACTCAAGGCATCAGCTGCCTGGGTGGGGCGAGTAGCCCCTGAGCACTCCACACTCAATCCAGAGGCCCTTTCCCGGGCACGCGACGTCCCGATTTCTTCGGGACGGCGTCCCCCGAAGTCCCGAACCTTCCCCCGGGACCGGTTTCTCATCCTGAATCGTTTTCTGACGGTCCCGAGGCCTGGCGAGGACAGAAAGAGGCCGAAAACGGCGAACACCCGCCGTCCTGATTTTTCCCAACCCTCCTGTGGTTGGGTACTCGTTTTGAATAGAGCAGTTTGGTCGCCCCGTCCTCCTCCACCTCCTCCCCTCTCCTCCCCTCCTCCTTCTCTCAAGTTTCCTGTGTTCCCTTCTCGTCTTCTCTCGTGACGTCTGCGATCTGCGCAACTGTCGCCACTTTCGTGGGCTCCTGGGAGGTCCAGCAGAGGTACGTTCCACGCGGACCACCTTGGGACCTCGCCGCCCCCTGGGGGGCTCGCGATCTGCGCAACGGTCGCCACTGTCGTGGGCTCCTGGGAGGCCCAGCAGAGGTACGTCCCACGCGGACCACCTCGGGACCTCGCCGCCCCCTGGGGTGCTTGCGATCTGCGCAACTGTCGCCATTTTCGTGAGCTCCTGGGAGGCCCAGCGGAGGCACGTCCCACGCGGACCACCTCGGGACCTCGCCGCCCCCTGGTGGGCTTGCGATCTGCGCAACTTTCGCCACTTTCGTGGGCTCCTGGGAGGCCCAGCGGAGGTACGTCCCACGCGGACCACCTCGGGACCTCGCCGCCCCCTGGGGGGGCTGCGATCTGCGCAACTGTCGCCACTTTCGTAGGCTCCTGGGAGGTCCAGCAGAGGTACGTCCCACGCGGACCACCTCGGGACCTCGCCGCCCCCTGGGGGGCTTGCGATCTGCGCAACTATCGCCATTCTCGTGGGCTCCTGGGAGGCCCAGCGGAGGCACGCCCCACGCGGACCACCTCGGGACCTCGCCGCCCCCTGGTGGGCTTGCGATCTGCGCAACTGTCGCCATTTTCGTGGGCTCCTGGGAGGCCCAGCGGAGGTACGTCCCACGCGGACCACCTCGGGACCTCGCCACCCCCTGGTGGGCTTGCGATCTGCGCAACTGTCGCCACTATCCCTGGCAAAACACAACACAATATGCACCCCGCTGCTAAATCTGGTTCATGCGTGGCCGCCCCGCGATCACTGTCAAGTGGTGGCATATGACCTGCTGCGCGCAGGCCCACCAGACACAAATATGGGCATTGATTTTCGACAAAGATGGTGGGGGCCGACGTGTTTCCCGATGTGTGCTGTCACGCGCGCAGACGCAACTGACGCACGTGGCGCATCTGGCGCACCAGGCGTGCCTGGCACGCTCGGGCCCCAGGGGTGCCTGGTGCGCGTGGCACCCCTGGCACGCGTGGCGCACTTCGCCCAAGCGTCGCGCACCTGGGGTCGGCTTTGGTTCCCAGTAGCTGTTCATCCAAAGACGACCGCTGAACATGCTCCGGCTCGGGTGTTACCCATGTGTTGGGAGGGCGGGTGGGAATGAGCTAGACGGCTTGCTATCGAGGGGGTGTCTTGATCACTGCTTCGTATTCATATACACCCCGTCCCCCACCTGGCCAGCGGCCAACCCAGAACCATGCCGACCCCAAGCGGGCCCGCCCCCACCATCCCTGTCAAAAACAATGCAAACCGCACTCTGCCCCCACATTTGGAGCATGCGCGGCCAACCCGATGTGGCCCCACCCCACCATCCCTGTCAAAAAACAATGCAAAACAGCGAAATCTGGATCATGCGCGGTGATCCCGCGATCACTGTCAACTGTTTTTTCCCCATATGCTTCGTGGGGTTCTGGTTCTCTTCCCTGCCGCGTCGCACCCGCGTCTCACCTCACACCTCCCCTCCTCCTCACAGCACTGCCACCGGAGGGGGTGCACATCGGGCGCGGTCTATGCGCTGCAGGCGCGCAGGGCACGGCAGGCGCGGCACTTTCTCGACACCAGGAGGGTGCGCAGGGGGTGCGGTCCCTATGCGTTGCAGGCGCGCGGGGCACGGCAGGCGTGGCAATTTCTCGACACCAAAAGGGGTGCACAGGGGGTGCGGTCTCTATGCGTTGCAGGCGCGCAGGGCACGGCAGGCGCGGCACTTTCTCGACACCAGGAGGGTGCGCAGGGGGTGCGGTCTCTATGCGCTGCAGGCGCGCAGGGCGCGGCAGGCGTGGCACTTTCTCGACACCAGAGGGGGTGCACAGGGGGTGCGGTCTCTATGCGTGGCGGGCGCGCAGGGCACGGCAAGCGCGGCACTTTCTCGACACCAGGAGGGTGCGCAGGGGGTGCGAACTCTATGCGCTGCAGGCGCGCAGGGCGCGGCAGGCGCGGCATTTTCTCGACACCAGGAGGGTGCACAGGGGGTGCGGTCTCTATGCGCTGCAGGCGCGCAGGGCACGGCAGGCGCGGCATCTTATCGACACCAGGAGGGTGCGCAGAGGGTGCGGTCTCTACGCGCTGCAGGCGCGCAGGGCGCGGCAGGCGTGGGAATTCTCGACACCAGAGGGGGTGAACAGGGGGTGCGGTCTCTATGCGTTGCAGGCGCGCAGGGCACGGCAGGCGCGGCATTTTATCGACACCAGGAGGGTGCGCAG